GAGGGTTAGCTTGCAGGTCCTAGAGAGACCTCGTTTCACGAATAAACCGAGAAAAGCGAGCGCTTGTCATCAAGACAACAACTGCGGCTTCTATCATGACGCTATACATTCAGTGTTCCCTACGAATATAGGTTTAAATATAGGAATCCTGAAGAAGTTTCCGGAAGTTCCTGGTAACTCCTCTGAAGAACTACTCGGAAGATGTGTAGAGTCGCTCTGCCAGCAGAGATCGGATAAAACACTTTTTTTGCAAATTTTTTTGGCAAATTAGTTCTCCGAATACCCATGTTTTCTATGTCAACTCATTTTCGATTTAGAATCGCAGTGGGAATTAAATATGAATGGGCTGTATAAAGAACTTTAGAGCCAGCCGATGTTTGAATCTGATATTCACGAAACCTTGGGAGGTAAAGTCTCCAGATGAGCTTTCACTGCTACGATGCTACAGTTCGAAGGCAAAAAATGTCACAGCGACGATTACGTATTCTCGTGTCGACGATTTTCACTTCTTATATACACCCTTACCCCAGAGACAGAGAAGGGTCTGGCTGCGCTTTTCGTCTTTCCACGTGGCGACAGCTGCGCTTTTGATTTGCTGTTTTGGGACGGTTGTGATCACGTTCACTTCCTTCAGACAGTTTGTAGGCAGGAAAGGATGACAGTTGTCCTGAATGGAGATATGTCGCGAAATATGCACCTTCTGCTATGTTCGAACGATGTACGCAGTCACACCGACACGCCCACCTCATCTGTTGAATATAATTGTACTTCTCAGGCCCTGGACCATCGCTGCTCTCGCACTACCACCCCTACACCTATTTTGCCCTCATCGGGAAGTTCTTTCAAAATCCCAACGACTTTGGCGTGGTGAACTAAATCTATCGTTGACCTTTGACGTGTGGTTACAAATATGGAAGCCAAAGTCAGGCTTGAGACTTGAGACGCAGAGGGTTCTAGTCGCGTAAGGACTGTGTGCTCTGCAAGAGTAGTCCGGACGCCTGACCGTCTTGCTCTTAATCTATGTTTTGACTGGGGCAGGAATTCTTTCTTTTTTATATTGTGCCTGACTCTCTCTGGCGAGTTATAAGCAGTCAAGCGCTCACGGAAACTTTTCTCCTGGGCTGTTGCGACGTAGGCACCAGGCGTTTTCCCACTGAACGTATATAATATTGGTGTTGAGAGGGTCAAACTACCCTGTGAACAAGTAACTCTTCATTGCAAACTGGTCACCGCTCGCTTGCAGGATGCAGTTAGTGATTCTAACTTCTTCATTTGGAACCGGCATTCGAAACCCTACCAAGTCGTCATCAAAAATTTTTCACAGGAAGCTTAAAGCATTTCCTGGTCAGGTGGACTCCTCACCTGCCTATTCGTTCTTTCACACTGCATTCGCTTTTTCAGCGGATTTTGGACTCGCCAAGAAACGAGGCAGTGAATACCTGAAGTCCGCCGCAGGGACTATTGTCTACAGTTGGTAAGTAGTACCGTGGGACGGGTTTTGACATTTTTGAAACCTGGTGATTTAGTCCGGAAATTGTGCAAAACATGGGATATGGCGAGAAGGCGGATGTGTGGTCTTTTGGATGCTGCGTCTACGAAATGACTGAACTTCGTCACCTTCTATTCACAAATATGCTTCCATTGCCACAAATGTCAGAGGGGAAATACGCGCCGATTGCTCCTGATCGGAGCAAGTAAGTTTTTCATGGGATGATCATTCCCGCCAATTGATTTTTACATTTTGTTCTTTCTAATTTTTTACCTGCGAACTGATTACTAATAAATTCGTTTGCAATAGAATTTGACAAAAAAAATAATAGGAAGCCGAGCATGAGCTGCGTTTATACTTTGCGCAGCGTCGCGTAAGCGTAGCGCAGCATAGCGTAGCCTTCCGCGTTACGCTAGACGGCAGTGCCGTAACAGAGAGGATTGGCATATACGATCTAGCTTCCACCAGCGTCACCAGCGCACGCTAGCGTACGACCAATGCGTTTCTCCAGTTCCGTTTCATCCAGCGTTTTGCATTAGCGTTGGCACGCAGGGGTAGAGGACTCTATGAGGCTGGAGGGTACACACACTCGACTTGCGTTCTCACTCGCTCCTTAGTCTCTACAATGCACATCGCTTCTGCGTCTCGACGGCCCATAGTCTCTACAATGCACATCGCTTCTGCGTCTCCGACGAGATTAGTCTCTTACAATGCGCAATCGCTTTATCTGGTCTCGCGACGGACATAGTCTCACAGATAACACGTCGATTCCGCGTCTCTCACGGCCACATAGTCTCTACTCCCTGCCGCTGCAAGCGCTAGCAAAACGCTGGTGCCGCTGGAGAACGCTCGAGAAACGCTGGAGATCTAGATCGATAATGGCTATGCTCTCCCGTCAGCCCCCTCGCCCAGCTGCGCTTAGACTGCCTCGCTGGCAGTACGACTTAGGCGCTGCCGCATAGCACCGCTAGCGTACGCCAGCGTGCCGCTGGTGACGCTGGTGAAGCTAGATCGATATGCGTCCTCTCTTCGGCACTGCCGCTGGCGTACGCTGGAAGCGCTACGCTCTACTCATGCCGCAAAGTAATAAACGCACCGACGGCATCTTTAGCATGACGAAGCGCTAGAGATTTGCACTTTTTGGAGACATTGCTTGTCCTTGTTGTACAAACCCATTCCACACGGTCTAAGGTGACGGATTTCACAGGGCCCAATCATACATTCATCTCCGAGGACGATCCTTTCAATAGAGGGCACAAAATTGGTTGGAGGTTTTGGTCAAGTCCGTGGAACCCTCCCCTAGGGCGTGACCTGCTAGCCCACCTTCCTGGTTCCCTCATCTGATGATCGTGCTGTGTTGAGCGGGGGGGGGGGGCGGTGGTGTATAAAGCACCATAGCTGGAAAACGGAAAAGTCAGCAAAGGGGAAAAAATTTACCCAACGCCACAAACTTCTCTCGAAGGGCAGTACGGCCCCTCCCTACAAAAAAATCAACTGCCAGAAAAAGTTTTTTCCAGACAAAATAAGACCCTCCCCCAGCGAACAAATATGCCACCCCCTGTAGGGGGATCCTCAACGATGGTGTGCCCTGTTTCCATGGGCGAGGTGAATGAATCCGCAGTTGCAGTAGCGTGCCACTTTGTTCGGTCGGGAACGAGGGTGGAGGGCAGCGATCCCCGGGTGCCGTCTCCCTCCACCCACTCTATTCTCAATGTTCTTGATGATGCCTAGATCGCGCAGCAAAACACACACTCAGAGGTAGAAATCCAGACGTGGGAGGGTGCGGGTGAGTAGCGCGCTTGGCTACTGGCAGATATGTAGCTGGCCGTGCGCAGGCCCGTTCCGTGCTTTTTTGACCGGAGAAAGTGGCACGCTAGTGTAGCTGCAGGCCCATTCTCTCCACCTACTTCCGCTCTATACACGGGTGCGTCTTATACTCCAGAAAATAGGGTGATAGGGTGCTGGATTGCATCAGCTTGCGAAAATGAAAATCCAGCGCGCGGCAGTGATTTCACTGCACTGTGATGATGACCCAACATTATGGGAAGAGTTGTAAGTTTCTTACTCAAAGGCATAAGGCACGATAATTTGGTGCTCGGTTTGAAATAGCAGCAGGGGTGCTACATAGGGGGAAATGGCCAAAAGGCGAAGTCAAAGATTAAAAACTCGCAAAAAAACCTTGGTTCTGCACCAGTTGGGAAGCGATTTCGGACGAGTTTCCTGTTGGCATCGTGCTAATGACCGCCACGGCAGCGTGTATGCATTCATACATCGATGCAGCACCTCAGTCGCTCATATAAGGGTACCTCCATGGAAAAGTACTCGGGAGCGTCGAATTCTTCCCAGCTAGGCGTATTAATCCTACACGCACGGGATTTATCGTGATTTATCCTGCTTCAACAACCACTGACGAATTGTCGCCAGTCCCGTTCCCCATTGACCTGGGCGCGCAACAGCTGCCCCCATAGTCTTCGTGTCCCTCTCGCGGAGCACGTCATTATCAATCACAATTCGGTCACTTTCCACCAATGTTCCCAGCCATTGAAATGTAGTGCGTTCGGCATTAATTGACTACTTCTAGCTGCTCCATCCCATGGCTCCCAATTATAAGTATGACCTGTTGTCCTGCCAATCATCGAATTTCTCGTGCGAGCAGCAGCTGAGGCTCTGTTCATACCTCAAGACAATCTGTGCTCTTTTCTTCGGGGCGAATCAACAGCATGCGCCAAAACATTTTCCCTCTTCCATCAGAAATGTCGCGGAAATGAGCCTGGAGCGTGATGGCGTAGGTAGTCGTTTGGGTCTCCACCCATGTCCACAACGTGCAGCATGTGCTGAGGTCCTGCAGCGAACAACATGAACGGCAAGCTGTCCATCGCGTCCAAGTGTAGAGAACAAGATTCCCTGAGCGATCGCGGAGGTAACAGACAAAAAGCGCTGGGCTTGGCTAAATATACAGTTGGTGTCGGGCTGTGTGTCGTGCTTTGCTGCAGAGGGACTCCAACCGGTTCAATCAGCCCAGACTCAGCCCAAAAACAGATAGGAATCATAGGAATGCTAGGTTATGAGCAAAAACCGGATTCATTCATACTAGGCGGGGCTCGAACGTTGCACTACGCATTCGGGCGAGTGCGCGACCACTATGGTAGCAGGGTAACAGGTTACGTACTCGCCTAGTGAGCGTGGTGCGAGTCCGAGTCCCTCCTGGTGTCAAGTATTTTGCTCCATAGCTCACCATTCTTGTGATTGCTTTCCGGGCACGAACTGCGTGCTGAACAGCAGTTGTTATAATAAAACAACTATGTGATATCATAAATACAGCTGCAAACCACGGAATTCTGGAATATTTAGCGAGATAAAATCAAGAAATAAATTGCAGAGAGCTTTCTGAACTGATTTCTTCATGCCTCACTGTTTCGCCAGCTTCTCGACCCGATATACTGGATGTGGCTCGCATCGCAGCTTCCAGAATGTTACTGTGTCTGGATGACATCTTCCGAATGCACGTCTCCAAAAGACATAAGATCCACACAAGAAAATAAACCACTATCACCAGAAAAGGTACGAAGAGCTAATCTTAAAGATGTCTTTTTTATCTATCGCCGTTCAAGAATCTACCGTCCAAAAAACTTGGGCATGATAAGTGCACCCGTCTTACAGCCTACTAATTTTGTTACAGATCTCCCAAAGCAGCCTTAAAATGGCATATTCGGCCCGGTAGATTTTTTTCGATGACCTTTTCCATTTCACGGGCTCTAGGTTCTTGCAGGGGATCCTACTGACATCCCCTATTGATATCCGATGAAATATCCAAACCAGGGCACGTCCTGCTGCTGGGAAGACTTTCGGAAAATACGACCCCTGATTCCCTCTTCTCACACGACCCCTCCCCTTCCCCATACCTACTACCTAGCACAGTTGCCTAGATTTTCTCCACCTGTGCCTATCACTTTTTCCAAGTTTCCCGAATTTGTCGCGAAAATCTTCAAAGTTCCCCCAGAATTTTGCTCGCCAGCCGAGATGGATATAGTGAGCGGCAGCAAATTAAGAATATCCGAGAACATCAAAAACCAGATGAAATTTTCAAGTACTAACCCGACAAACCTTCTCCAAGGCAGATACGACCCCCTCCCCCACTCCCCAACAACAGACAGGATACGACCGGCCGCCTGCCCACCTCCCTTCTCCAGACCACCCCCTCCGCGCCTATAGCGTCCGGAACAAGAAAGACCGACTACCGAAAAATTCGAGACTAAATACAACCCCTCTCCTCACAGCGACCGGATACCACCCCTCCTGAAATTCCACAACGTACAAAATGGTCTGATCTCTACAACATTAGAATCTCCCGAAAAGTTTTGCCTAGGAAATTTTCAGGATGCTTGTGTAATAGCGCGAGAAAGGAATGCAAAGATTGTCTCAACCGAACATGGCCATAATAAACCTTTTTGTTGAGGTAACTATTCATCCTACACTACGACTCTGCCTCTTTCTTTGAAATCAATAAGAGTACGTCAAGTTGACTGCATCAATGCCCCGTGCAGTCAAAAAGCCGCCAGACATCAGCGCGGTCTAGAACCAGCACCCAAGCACGCCAAGCTTCCACGACGAGCCACAGTTCTAACGATATCAGCCCTTATACAGAATGTCAACATCAGATTATTCCACAAAAATCCTTGCTATAGCAGCTGTTAGGTCAACATCATGGTTTCAAGAAATAGTTTCAGAGAAAAAATGTTTCTTTAAAGTCTTCGTCAAAACTCTTCCACGAATGTTGGCCTTCTGTCGAAAAGCCAGCAGCCTCTAGAGCCCTTAAACAGAGACCAACGCTTATTCATAACTAGCGATTGACAAGCCCATCATGCAGTCTCCGCCTAAACTCTTTCTCTCGTTACTGTTGCGGCATAACTTCTGCAAGATAAAAATTCCATAAAGCGCACTACTTGCCGCATTTGAGTGTCGATGTCGCGGCGCAGTCTCGCCTAAGACGTGCCAGTAAAACTCCTACATTTTCCACCGAAAATTCCCCATCAAAGGGAGGAAGGAGGGAGTAAGAGCGCCCGTGGAACGCAACCATCAACCAATAACGAAGAACTTCCCTTACAGGCCAAAAACACTATCCCCGTCCCTCGCAAACGACCTTAATTTCGGGAACGCATAATGTTCCCTGTGAACAGATAGGCGAGGCTCGTAATCAAAAAAAAAAACAATCAAAATAGGAAATTGAAAGCGTGTTTGACTTCAGACTACCTCCCTCTGCATAGCGGAAATCGGCGACGTCCTTAAACCATAACAGGACCCGCCGACGCAGCGGAATCAGCTGGTAAATAAGCCAGAATAGAAGCCCGCTTGTGCATGCTTGAATTGCACTCGGATTATTCAATCATCATCCGCATCCGGCAATGCTAAAACTCTTGGCGCGCTGTTATCCCTTACTCCCAATCGTCCCGAAATCGGCCAGTTCCCTGACCCGAATTTTCTCTGTGCGAAATTGCTGAAATTTGTCTCCTGGTAAGTGACCTTCTTAATATAAATCTCATCCGTTCCGCGAACCCCGTCGCCACAGGTGCCAGCGCCAAAAACCCTAGATCACCAGTTTACCTCAAACCTTGTCTCCAGATGCAGTTTGACCTCCTGAAGACGAATATCATATCCGCTTGCACAAACCTCTCAGCGCTCTCCTCCACAGGCTTCAAAAATAATCCAAATCACACGGCGACCGTGCGTGGGCGGCAGTGGACCGTTTCGATAAAAAAAAATGGATATTGTATTCAAGAAGAATTACAACTTACCTTAGAGACGATAAATTTGAGCCAAATGTGTCCACGGAAGAAAAACGTCGGCTTGAAGAAACTGACCCGATTCCGCGAACAAGACTGGCATAAAGCAATAGGCTGAACTTCGTTTTTCGTTCATCCCCCTCGACTTTCTATGCTACCTGAACTCATACCGAGTGACATACGGCGTGCGGAGAAGTGTGCAAACCTTTTTGTGCAACGCCTGATCCTCTCCATCAGAACAAGTATAGCAACAAACACTCCTGAGATGCGTCGCTATCACTGTCATTGGGATGGGGTGGATATGCCCGAGCAACACTCTTCATGGTTCAGCCATTATCCTTCCAGAAGCTCGTCAATGAAAACTCAATTCACCAGAGTTCCGAGCTAAAATTGTTCCATGAATGCAAAACTCCCGTGCAATCAATGAAAGTGTCAAAAGCCGTTTGTACAAGCAGCTAATTCATTGCACACCGCGCGCACGAAAAGAGTTGTTCAAACATTGCCCCCCTCATTCTTAGGCGCATGTGGCCGTTGCAATGCCAAGCATAGCTCTTTCTCTATCGTAGCAGTTAGCAACGTTGCAAAGCAGAGACACTCTTGCTAATTAGCCAATTTACGAAAGCAACCCTCAACTTCTTCTGGTTGTATCTGCTTGCAGAGAATGGCCCAGAAGAAAGATTTCCAGCCGGCGAAGATGAGCGCACGTGGAAAATTTGTATGTTGCCTCGCATACATGATCTCTGGTAGTACTGTCGCACTTCCCTAAAGAATATCCTCCATCCAGTTATTGCGGGTTAACAAATAGTAAACTTATCCGCGCAGGAAAAAAACTGAGAGAGAAGTTGCCCCGAAAGGAAAAAAAACCATATAAAGCGTATGTAGATGGTGTGGAGCGGAACTTTCCTCAGTCGTGACATCGCAGTACAAGTAGACTTAGGAGATAGAGTCGACGCATTGCGATCTCAGCGTGACAGCGGCATTACGCTTCGACTCTTTCTCTCAAGATAACTCGTCCTGCGATGCCGCGACTGGAAAGTAACGCTCCTCATCCATGTAATTGGGGGCGGGGAGCATGCAGCGGCACAAAGGTGAACTCATCTGCCCCCTTCTCACAGTAGTATATAGCCGTGATCCCTAAAAACGTTAAGGCGTAGGATGGCAACGTGGGTATTCAGGGGAAATTTTTCACCAGCTGTAGAGGACTCAGGCTGAAATCATCGTTGGAACAGTTCCGCCCTGGCTGCGCTAACACGGCACCGCGTAGCTTGTCCAGTCGTTTGGCATGGAGCACCGCTGTATGTATGCTACTTTCCTGTTTGCATCCAATTTTAGGCGCTGATTATGCCCAGAATCAATGCATAACTGTTTCTGATACTATTTCGTCGAAAGGCCGCAGACGAGGAGACGTCACGTGGCCCAATCGCGCCGCCGAGCGTTCCCAACTGTACATCTACTGAGCCCGTCAATCGTTACATATCCAAGTGCACATTCAGATCTTACGACTATGTATGTGCATGGAAGTTGAATGCGTACCTCATCCCTCAAGGGCTCAGAAGGGTTATTATTCCACGTTGGAAATGATTTTTCATTCTAGCCATCAAGTCTTTGTCAGCTGGGCAACCAAGTCGAAATCTGCCAACTAGCACTTCATGCTTCTTGCCAAAAATTGGAGGATCGGGTCGAGTGAGTCAAGCGTCTCCCTATTACCTATAGCCATGAACGGATTACTTTCAGGGTCGCCGAGTGACAATCACCGAGGCTGACCATCGAAGAGCCAATTCGTCTGGATCGGTTGATAAGCGCATGGCTAAAAGCCAAGAAGGTCTAACTGTACGGTATGTGACTACAGTAGTATGGGTGTTATTTACATGCAGAACTATTCGCCTTCAGGTCAGCCTCACTGCAGCCCATCAGCGATCCATTGCTGGACATCCTGTCACAGATTCATAGAATAATCCTGATCAGTGAACAAAGTTGGTGATAACGTATACTGTAGCAGCGGATGAAGGAGCGTGCCCTGTAGTATAAGTGTACCACAGCGCCGAACCAGTTCTCTGCCACTTGCTGATGCGGGTATGCGACAACAATTTGTAGAAAACGAGTGTATGACGACCGTCTTGTCACACTTGCTCGCCCCAACAACTGGTGGAGAACGGGATTGGCACTGCGCCAAATGCAGCCCGCCTGACACGCCCCTTCGTCCGCAGCAAACTAGACTATATACCTGGTGATAACAATGATAAGGATCTTTCTTTTCCGAATCTTAACAAAGGAGTTTTGAGGTCCGTCTGAGTCGACGAATCACAAGAGGCGGGTTGTAGAACAGTTTCGCCGACGTATTTTCAGCAAAGCGAGCAATGCTGAGATGATCAAGAAACATCTACGAAAGGTGAGCGAACCCACTACAAAGCTATGCGGTTCCTGGCGCAGTTCGGCGACGAGGGTGGGGGGGGGCATTTTGCACTTTCGTTGCTTCACTAGTTCCGGTTTACAAGTCTCACTCTGGTGAAACCTGTGAACTCTTGTGAAGCTGGAGCAAGCTCGTCAAGCCATCATGGTAAAACCTGTCAACTCGAGAAGAGGCTGTCTAGATGGGTCGACACGTCGATGGAAGTCGTTAAAGTGCAAAATGCCCCCGTCGCTGACCTGCCGCGTGTTTACTTTCTAATGCCATTCATTTGCAGCTGTCCACGGAGTCCCACGAGGAGATCGAACTGGACCTAGGCTATTCCGACTTCCGTCCAGTTCTTACCGATATCTACAAATCGGGCTACCAAAATGGTTGGTTCAGCACAATTGGTCGCCCCTTTTGGCTACCGCTCCCTTTGAAACATGGTTTTTCACAATTTCCCTCTTCAAAAATTTGTCCAGCTTCTCTAATTTTCAGACAGGAAAATTTCACGGATCACTTACGAACAACTGTCAGCATGTATTCAGCGCCTAATCGAAGAGAGCTGATACTTCCAGTCGCGGTTTACTAGCTAAACTCGATCGTCATTGCTTTACTCATGTTCACCCGTTCAAAATAGTTATTTACGGCAGTTGGCTACAGGGGAGGGGCATTTGCAGCTCTCCAGCTCACTCCCCAGCTCACAAGAGTTCACATGTTTCACTAGAGTGAGGCTTGCAACCCGGAACTGGTGAAGCAACGAAAGTGCAAAATGCCCCCCCCTTCCGTCGCCGAACTGCACCTTAGTTCATTATTCAGGAGAAGTTCTACATATTTCCGAGAGTACTTTATTTGCTAAATAAAAAATCACTAAACTTATATCATAAGAATGAATTCTAAGGTCACACCGTGTAACGAACTCTGATTGATGACGACGTAAAACCTGAGCAGCAGAGAACGACTACAATCCCAGTAACACCCACTCCTGTCTATCCTTTCGCAGCAGAAAAAAAGGAAGACAAATTGATTCTGCCGATCTGATGATACTGAGCTGGACCAAAGCGATGCGCCAAACTCCTCTGCATTGCCAATGCACATTGCATTTACTCTCGCCACCATGTGGGCCGATAGCAGCAGCCGCCAGGATGCCGAACAACTGCTTGTGGCCAGTGAGAAAAACATTATCGCTCCACCAGGGAGAGATCTGGAAGAGACCACATGATTATTACTGGGTGTTTTGGAAAGTAAAGTTCAGAATAGTGTAATTACCCTATCTTCTAGCGTATAAGGCGCATTTCGCAGAGGTGCGACAAAGTGCGCGAAAACAAAATTTTTCCTATCTTTTTCTTGCACGGCTTATTCTCAGGGGTTTCACACACATTTCATGAAAAAAGACCACTAATATGGATAAAATTAAACGAAAATGGAAAGTCAAAGTGAGGAAAAACAGTGCAGCATTCGAAGCAAAAGTGCGGCTGGCGCAGTTCGGCGATTGGGGGGGGGGGGGCATTTTGCACTTTCACTGGTCCCAGTTTACAAGTCCAACTCTGGGGGAACCTGTGAACACTTGCGAAGAAGGGCTTTCCACATGGGTCGTCGATAGGAGGGCAAAACGCATTCCCCCCCGTCGCCGAACTGCTCCGATGCGCCTTATACTCTAGAAAACAGGGTATTTTAATTGCTACTCGCCTTTCAAGGTTGTTAGGTGGAACATTTATTCAACGTCCCTCTAAGTTCTTGATCAAGTGATCAGAACCGCAGCCGAGAGCACATTCGCAGTTCACATGTGGTAGAGGGCACTCGGTTCAATAAAAGGCAGTTTGACGCCCTTCCGGTTGCACCGCCCACCAAAACCGCGCTCTTCACGATCAACGCAGGACCCAGGTGTTGTTTGGTCGAACGGCGGGCATACTCGAAGTCCAATTTTGCTGATCGCGCTCATAATTGATTCTGCTCTCCTTTACAACCTTCTCATTGGGCACAGAGTCAAATGGGCAATCCATTCGCAAAGTACGACGCGTAGCTATTCACTTCAACGATGTACAATAACTGCATTGGTGGCAGATACGTTCGCTAATAGCGTTTCATAGAACCATTTTTTGCACAGGGCCCCAGGCTGTTATGAAATTCGTTTCTGAACGCATTTCTCATGTTTTTTCACTGTTTGATAGCATCTAGCAATGAGATATGAGCCCACACTGTATGATGTTTTGTTGGCAAGGAACTGAAGCCGATCCTGAGAACACATTCACTGGTGCTGTTAGCGAGTCCCTACTGAGGGCGCCCCTACGATTTTTTTTTGTTATTCGGCTCCGCCCGCCCTTCCACACGCTCCGCCCACTACGGCCGTGCCTCGCACTTCTCGACCATCGTTGACATTAATCCAATTTTTCCCGTTGTTTGGAGGGACATTTTTACGAATGTCAAGTTTGGCACCGCCCGCCTCTCCGCACGCTCCGCCCAAAATAGATGTATTCTGTTTCTTCCCTGGAGGTCATTTAGCGACTGTAGTCCATGACTGAGCGCCACTATATCATATGCGATCACGGGGTTTGTCTTCAAGAGAAAAAGCCCACTGCTGAGACGAGAGCGTTAGTTGGATGTGAATTTATGTGATGTTCACCAAAGCAAGGTATTTATTTCAAACGGAAATAAAGGAAGATAGCATACATAAAAATACACATCAATCTCTAATAATTCTTTTTTTTGTGTTTTAGTTAATTCCAACTTAGTTAAAAGAAGAGAACAAAAGAAAACTGTGAAAAACGATGTGCTAATCAGAGATGATAGAACGCGGCGTTACGATAGAAAATCTATGCTAGACTTTGGAAATAATCAACAAAACCGAGACTGATTGCATGAGCAAAACGATATTGACTTGGGGGATAGATTATAGGTGGTGGGCAGAGAAGAAACATGGACAGACGAGGAAGCCCCAAATCAACTGTTTGTAAATGTACGTGAACATAGTTCAAATTAGCAACAAAAAATGAATTCCTCAACGCATTTTCAACAAAAGAAAAACCGAACATAGCGGGGGAACAACTATTACGACCTTCTAGGAGGTACTAATTTCACCCCACGAGATTGGAGCAAATGTTTGAGAACAATCGGATTCCAACCGGGAGCTTTCTAGATAGCTACATCAATCAATTCATCTATTATTAACGTGGACATTTGACAGACGCGCTGAAGGAGTGGCTATATTGTCATCATTATATAGGTGCATAAAGTATTTTCAAAATTTCTTAAAACTTGGAATGAAGCCTCTCCTTGAGCAGACAGTTCGGCATCTCAACAAAAAGCTCCATCGCAGGGTAACAACGCCGTAACAGGCAAAACAACAAACTATTTTGAGATAACCAGTTCAGAGAAAAACATACAAACCATGGAAATGTGAACACATTGAAGCATACCAGTTTAATTTTTCGCGGCAGCAACTTTCTTCTTATCATCGGCACTTGTCTGAAAGAAAACAGCTGAATTGGGGATCATCAACGCTACTCCCATCACAAAAAATTGGCAGCTCCTGTTTGCCATGTATTGGAAGAAACACGTCTTCCTCCATTCCGGCGAATGTAACAAGCCCGGATATCTTTGACCTCAAAATGCTCTGCACACTAGAAACTACCGGTTCAGCTGCTCTCAAGACATGGGCTAATGTATCCACAAAAGACTGCCAGGTAGGCGGAGCCAGGAAATAACGCCATTGGCTCGCTCAACTTTCGCCGCCTCCTCTACCACCAGAGGAGGCGGATTAAAGGGAGAACCATGCCGAATGGTGTCTATGAAAGCGTATTCCACGACTACACTTCGTTGATTTCGAGGCTCGGTAAGGAATTCCTTGACACCAACTTGACTCACCAGGAAGGATGAGAGGAAACAAAGCCGTCGAAATCACCTAATAACGTCCTAGAACGGACGAGTACGTCTCCTCTGCAGTCTTTGAGATGGTCCCACGTTCGCAGCTCTACAGTGTGTTGCGACGGCGTCACGGCCCTAATAAGTGGCAGCTTTGACGCCCCTCCAGCTGCACTGCCCACAAAAACCGCCCTCATTGCGATTACGCAGGACGCACAATTGTGTTTTGTCCAAACGGCAATCATAAGATTCGAAACTGCGGTCCTACTTGTTGCTGACCGCACTCGTGCTCATAGTTAATTCTGCTCTCCTTTACAACCTTTTCTCATTAGGAGCACATACAGTCAAAAATAATCCACCTTGCAAGGTAAGACGCGATTACCCAACCATTCAACTGGCATTGGTGGCAATTAGTTCGCCAGATAGGCGTGTTTCCCACAACCCATATTTGGCAGGTTAACAAGATGGACTAAAGGCTGTTTCGCGTTTCGTTTCTACACTGCGTTTTTCATTTTTTTTCCAAGAAGCGAGACACTGATTCACGGGCAAAAGATCAATGAAAATGAGAGAACAGCAAGGCGAACATGAGGGCGAGCAACAAAGGTCTGTCTCACAATGAGTGAACAACGCAACGAGTCACACATCTATTCATAAATTCACAGAACCGCTCCCATGTGGTGGCGAGGAGAATCCCTCCCCCAGATGGGTTGATGCCCACTTCTATAGATAATGCCACTTCGACTTGGAGCGAAAAGGGCAGTCTCTGAGACGGCGGCCCGGGCTACCTTTCGGGTGATGCAGGACTGCATCTTTATATCGGATAGCATATTAATGAGAAAAAAGGAAAAAAACTCACAATATAAAAGTCGTCGGCAGTTTTATACTTTTCAAGTTCCTTTTGCAGAAATGGATCAACAACAAGCTGTTTGGCTATTTTACACCTAAAAATACAAAAATAGATGTTGAGCACCAATTTAAGATTATCAAGAAGCGCTTACCGTTTCATGAACATGAAGAACTTTTCTAGACCATATAACTGCCCATTTTTAACATCACCGATACAGTCCTTCACAAAATTTTTGTAAATTTCCGGTCGGAACTTCTTCTCTAGCCCGTAGCTGTAGAAGCGGAACAGAGCTTCTATACCATATCGGAAACTGAAGAAGAGAAATAATAGTTAAAGAGAAAATAACATAAGAACGAATAATCGAAGTAAGTTAGTTTAGTGCAGACAGATAGAAATTTAGTGTAGACAATCCTCACCCTTTTTCGTCATCCTCCAGTGCGAGCTGACGAAACTCTTCATACATTTTTCGATTAAAATTATCTCTTAAAAAGAATGACCAGAAGCGATATAACGTATTCATCTCCGCGCAGTCATAACCAAGGTTTTTCCGCTGTTTCAAGCAAGACTGCCTCCAGGTGGAGTATACCTGAAAATGAAATAAAAAAATGACTATACGGCACAACACTCAGAGTACCTCACACTTACGTTTTGAACGAAATTATCCTCTTGCAATAAAGAAACCGAGGGATGTGCTGGAGGAATTTGACTGCTACTAGCAGCAATTCCAACCGGTGCAGGTGGTGGGGCTTCGTCACGACCAAGTACCCATGCCACTGGCATTTCGACAGGCGGGTTTGAGCTATGCCTGTTACAACAGAATAGTTTTCAAGGCAGTGCAAGACCCAGCAGAACCAACATAACATTCATAAACGTCATGCTACTGCTCTCGCTATAATACAGTAATGGAATAAATTTGATAAATAGACAAGAACCTCGTCTTTTGTTTACGTGGGGATTTCGCATCTATGAGCGCGGCCGGCTTCTCTACTGGATAGAAACGAGACACTTTCTGCTCCACCGATTCGCGTCGTTGCATTGGGCTCTTTGGCTGAAACAGAAAGTCTTCAATCTGTATGTCTGTGCTAAACTATTTACATTCACGTTATTTCAGAAAAAAAAACGGTCACATGGATGCGAAAAAAATTCACAAAACAACAAAGAAAATGCGGTTGTTTGGTGCTGCGTACATACCACAACACCAAGAGAAGAACGTTCTTTTGCCTTCTGAGTCCATATAGATGGAGGAGTTTCCACTTGAGTAAGAGGAATATCAGGTGGTGGTCCCTGTTCTGTCGTGGTAGTGTCGTCACCTTTCTGCAGACGGAACTCCTCTTGGTTTATCGTAGAAATCTTGGGCTTCACCTGGAAATCACACCACACCTACGAACCACGTTTAGAAAGACACGTTCACACGTTTTGTTAATATATTGCAAACAGTTTATAATAAGTAGTGGGGTAATTGTCATACAATTTATGCGATTAGAAACATGAAAATGTCTACATGAAAATCGTGCAGTGGCACAAAATCTTTTAATTATTATATAATAGGTATTTTCTGAGCACTATTCCCCTTTACTGCCCAGCTATCCGGAGTCAGGCTAGCTTCTGATCGACTTTTTTTTCCGAGGGCAGACTTCGCTAAAGGGTTGTCCCTTGGAGTAGTCCTGGGGTGTTTTGTTAAATGTATTTACAAAAATAAATTTATAAGTTACAAATACTCTATTGCAAATAACTATAGAAAGATAAGTAGACTGGTTAGAGGTATTCTCATTGGCAGCGGTGTTCAACACTAGCTCTCCTTCTACCACTAAATTTTGATTTAACTTTTTGTAATCCGCTGCGGCAGTGTCTTTTACTCATTATTCCCTTAGTTTGTTTAGCCCATCTACAACAATCCATTTTTCTTCCTCTTACACCAATCTTGTACTCACACCGGTTATATCCTTCTTTCATTTTCCTTGTACAATTCCTTCTCATCTTTATTGCATGGATTTTGCATGTCAACTTTTTACATTTTTTCTCGCTTTGTCCTTTTTCTTAATCCTTCCCCTATGTAGTCCATGTCCATGTCGTCAACTCTATCGTACTGAAGAGCCCGGGGGTTGGTAAGACATCGATGATTCGTCTACGATAACGGGCGAAACGGATCATCTGTGATGTTGAGTGTATTCCTTTCCCCAATATTTGTTTCTTTGTTTCTAATTGGTGCTCTTCCGCTGGCGAGGGGGGTGTATTCGGCGGTATTCGGTAGGAAGAGGGGATTTGGAAGAAATTTTCCGTCTTGGGAAAAAATTTTCTCGATTGCTGACTTTTGCGTGATTTTCCTGCTTTATGTGTATATACCCCCCCCTACCCTTGGAAAAACAGAATTGGTAGGCAGGTGTTGGGGAAAGGGGTGGAGGGTGGGGAGGGGGAGGGATCGTACCGGGACCCCCTTTTGGTATGGGGGAGGGTCGTTCCCACACCACTATTTCACACATCACGATGCTGTACCGTGTTTGGGAATGAGCGGTTGCTACGACATTTAGGGACACGGAGCAAAAAGACAGCTCTTCTGCCTGCCTGTGATAGTGATACCTCCCTTTACTGAGAATCGGCTCCAAAAGAAGAAAGGATCGCTTTCTCGGGGGGACGGTGCAGACGAGTGGAGGCAGAATGAGTCATCAGGTGTACACGCTTCACTCCATCCTGAACTTTCTTGACACCTCATACGTACAAATGTGATATTAGCGTTCAGGAGGTCAAATTGCATCAGTTTTTTTAGCCATCTGCCCTCAAGGAAACAATTAGAATTTGGGGCAGTACAGTACAGTTGATTGAGCCAAAACCCGACCACTATCTGTATCTTCAGAAACAGTATTGTAATTAGGAAACTTTACTGGAAACCCCAAAATTTCTCTGAACACTTGAAAGGTCTCTATTTTCCTAGGATGTTTCGGCGCTATAACAGAGCCTGTGGGCTACCATTGCAATGGCAAGATCCGGTCACCAACCATGAGAGACCCATAAGTATTCATTCCCTTCTCATTCCTGATTTGTTGTCTTTCCAATACAGATGAGTCCACTATCCACTGCTTTGAATACGAATTTTATCACGACCACAGTGGATAGCTCCATAACTTAGTACTACAATAGAAAGTCCAATTGAGTAATGAACCAAAGATGAGTTTGCAAGAAAATTAGCGTTAGGTCTTCCTATTTTGGAACTTTTCACGCCTTTATCATTTTGAAATGCAATCATGGGCACGGGGGACCCAGAAAACACCCTGCTTTCCGATTGCCAGGTTTTCCTTGTTCAGCTTTGAACATCTCTCATCGCTTCCCTCAACTATGAACATTTGTTGTAATTCACAACTCAAGTTTTCTATGATTCACCCTCGCCACTTTCCGGCGTTAAGTGCCCCCTAATAACTGCAGACCGTGTCACTGCATTTGCATGTGATTTTTCAAAAATACATTCTCTACAGTCTCTTCTTTTAGCCGAAAACCACTCCAACGAGACAATGAGAACATTGAATATATTCGAATTTGGCATATGGAACTTTTTTGGAAAAGCAGAAATTAGAATTGCAGTGCAACTGACCGGAGCTTCCTTCTCGACAGGTGCACTCCACAGCTCTTCTTCATAACGTCGAAGACCAATTTCAACCTCCTCATTGAATTCTGCATGATGTTTGGACCGAGAAGTGAAGTCACCGGTTCTATCCAACGTTCGTTTCATAGGCGTCATGATGATCAGTTTATTCACAATATCATCACCAATTTCTTCAAACGCATCCGCACTGGAATTTTTTTTGACATCAAATTTTGTTCAGACACATCTTTCCGTCCATACGATTATTGAGAACATTATGCTAATCTGCGTCGGGTTGATTTTTTTTGACAAAAATTGGCCATCCAGTGACAGAGACCAGAGACAATTTTCACATCGAGGGGGTTCGAAGAAAAGCCATCCAATGAAATTTTCTTTATAACGCTGGAAACTTCCATTGAGCTATCAAAGAAAAACTATAGTAATGTTACTAAGAAAAAATCAATCAAACCTCAAGCGAATGCCCTTCACTGGTTTCTCGCGTTTAGTGGTTTCACTGCCGCCTGCGCTGATTTCCAGCTCATTGTCGAACTGAAAATCCAAGTCCTGCTCCGACCTGGTCGTGTCTTTGACTGTGGTAGGCTTTTCAGCACGTCCTTTCCCTTTCTTCTTTGGCTTTACTTCCTCCCACTCCTAAACAAGGAATTTCTCTAAATTAGAGAAAGGAAAAGTAAATTGTGATGAACGCACCTCCTCTGCTTGTCCAACAGTGGGCTTCGTTGAAGTCGACGACTGCGACTGCACTTTTTTCTCAGCGGTAGGAGCCTGGGCACTAGGCGCCGGTGTTTCGGTTTTTAGAAACAGCGGGAGCCTTCTAAAAATACTCTGTTAGAAATTTTTTTTTGGTTTGTCAAGTAAGAATTTTTCCGATCTTTCTGAAATTGTTCTGTGCCATTAACGTTAATTTTTGAATAACTGCAACTGATATGTCACCCCCAGAAGCGAAGGAGGTGTAGTGGCAAGTGGCACGCTTACCATGCACGCGATCCGGGGGTCAAAAGCCGGGTCGGCTCCCAAGCCAATCAAGCCTTCTAACCTCCGGGAAAGGTGGATTGGCACCAGATTGGTCTGGGAGGATAAAAACACGGACTTTTACATATTTCGATTGGCCTCACAAGTCGTTACAAGTGATTAAAAGCTGGTTAACAAAGGACTGAT